TAACCAACAGGAGAGCTAGTAACGTTAGCAGCACCGCTAACGGCTAATCAACAGAGGTTCACTTCAGTTACATGATGATGCCTTCAGGCTCTGCTCAGTGAACATGAGTACTGGCTGAAGGTACATTATAACCTTATCATGATGTGTTCACATGTCATCTGTAAAATGTAGTTTTGGTGATGAACTAGAATAATTCCAGTAGTTTGAAGGAGATGTTTATGAATATAAAATAGATATTAGAGATGAATTATGAGCTGTTGGTGTGTGTGTGTGTGTCTGTGCCTCACCTCCATGACCAGCTGATGGGCCCGGGACACCAGAGTGAGTCCGTTGGCGTGGTTGAAGGTCTCTGAGATGTCCTGACCGAAGGTGTAGCCGGCTCCTCGAGGAGAGATACCCCACCCACCACGGTCATCTGGGTCAGACCACAGCAGGTCACACATGGGACCCTGAAACAGAACCAGAACCAGTATCAGTACTAGAGACCACAGCAGGTCACGAGTACGACTATAAAACACAGAGTTAACCCTGAAGTTACCTCGATAGCCTCAAAAGAACCAGTAACAGAACACGAGTCATCATCTATTTATCGAGCAGAGAAGACTTTAAGTCATAGTTCTCTCATGTCAGCTGGTAGGAGTCATGTCTGGGGGCCAAGACCAGCTTATTATGGGATATCAGAGAAGATCAGCTGATCAGTCATGTGAGTTGAACATTCACGACGTCACAATTTACCAGAATCCATGAGGAGAATTCTGCTGTTTTCTTACAGCTTTTCGAATGTGCAGATAAATATGTGAATGGAAACCAGGATGTTCCTTCATCATCATCATCATCATCATCATCATCACCACACTGTAGTTTATTCTGACTCAGTCACACACACACACTCAATAGAGCATGAGACGTGGATTCATCCGCCGCTGAAAATAGTCCCCAACAAATGCTCCATCTCAACACACACCCTGTGTGTGTGTGTACCTCATGTGGGACTTCCTGCAGGCGGTCCAGAGCTCGTATGTGATCCAGAGTGTCGATGGAAGGAGACAAACCTCCGTGGAGACAAAAGATCTGAAACAAAAACACAAAATAAAAGCTTTACAATCCACTGAGTGGAGACTTTTATTTTGACACAACCAGGAGCCGTTACATCGTCTCCCACCCCCCACCCCCCCGGGACAACGAAGCTCGTGGTCATGTTACCTGTCCGTCCACCAGCGCGGTGAGGGGCAGGTAGTCGAACAGGTCGGTGAAGTACTTCCACACGTTGGCGTTGCCGTACTTCCTCAGACACTCGTCGTAGAAGCCGTAGACCTGCGTGATCTGCCGCGACTCGTGGTTCCCTCGCAGGATGGTGATTCGCTCCTGGAAACGAACCTAAACAAATAACAACACTTCCTCATTAGAAGATGTTCAAGCGTCTCTCTTGAAGGAAAACAGAGGTTCTGCTCCGCTTGATATTTACAAATGTAAACGTTTCTTTGACCGTTTACTCAAAGTACAACGCTCTGTGACGAGGTGAGAGGGCATCCAGACAAACAGACTGAAGCTTCATATCCAGCTGATCATGAAGGTTGAACAGGATGAAGTATCTCGGACTGCTTTGGGATAAATAGATGTTAGTTGCAGCTCTGCCTTCATCGTCAATGATGAGGATTCACTTTGTTCACTTATGTTTTAGACGAACAGGAAGTCGTTCCAACTCCTTAAAGACTGAAAACACGTCTGTTCATCCAATCAGATGTAAGAAAGCTTCATGTTGTCTGAATGAAGTCGAGCGCCGTCAATCACAGCTGATGAGACTCCGCACACCTCAAATAAAACTAAAATATCACAATAAGTTATATGTTTCTATTAGTTTATGATTATCTCAATCTGCAAAGTAACTAAATCTGTCAGATAAATGTAGAGCAGCAAAGGTATTTACCTCGAAGTTGTGGAAGTACAAAATAGCAGAAAAGACAAATACATGAGTCAGGTACAAGTACCTCATATTTGTACTCGAGTACATGTACTTTTGTTCACCCCTACCTAGCAACAAGGGGCGGGACAACGCGGTCGTCAGCTGTCAATTAAACGGTGACCTTTCCCAGCTTTTGACTGTCGTCAGAGAGACGACATGTTGTGAAATGTGAGTTTATTAATGTGTGTTTGTTTACAGTGCTGATCTGTGATGTGTTGTTTTTAAATTAATAGAAATAGAGCCGATAGAAACCACAGAGAACCAGCTGGCTTAGTAATAATAAAACCACTGCGTTAACACACGATAAAATAATTATCTGCGTTAATTAATGCGTTAACGTGATAACGCGTAAACTTGCCCAGCCCCAATATAAATATCTAAATATATAAATATATACGTATGTTTTACCTTTAGTGTGACGAGCAGCGTGACCGTCTCCACAGAGTAGTAGCCTCGGTCCACGTAGTCTCCCATGAACAGGTAGTTGGTGTCGGGAGACTTCCCTCCGATCTTGAACAGCTCCATCAGGTCGTGGAACTGACCGTGAACGTCTCCGCACACCGTCACCGGGCATCGCACCTGAGACCAAGAAACCACGTCAGCGACACAGGGAACCACGTCAGCACAACAGGGAACCACGTCAGTAACACAGGGAACCACGTCACGTTTGGGTCTCCACCCACAGAGGAGGACTACACTTTTACACTTCTTTAGTTTTCACTCAGCAGATTAATAAACACTTTGATCAATAAAACAGACGAGATGTAATCTTGACTTTCAGAAAACAAATCTGAGATTAAATATTCTAAACTATTCTTTATATATTAAACATGTAGAGATTAAATCTCACAGCAGTGTTAACAGATCAATATTATTCATTGATAACACAGTATGTCAAAGCTTTACTCTACTTTAAGGTAATTAAAGTAGTGTGTTGTGTACTGTGTCGTCTGTATGAGTTTCTGGGTGGCAAAAGAGTTTCCCCACTGGGGATTAATAAAGTTTTCTAATCTAATCTAATTTATACTTTTATTTTTTCTTATGTAGGAATTAGTGTTTCTAGATAAAAATCTCTGGAAAGCTATTCGTGGACCTTGAGTTAAGGTTTGTGTTAATGTTGATGTATATGAAGTATATTTTATTATTATTACGAGGACGGTGAGAGGATCTAACAAAGAGGAACGCAGAAACACACTCATGCTTCACAGAGTTCTACTTGTTTTTTTAAAGACTTCCTTCTCATTTTCTTATAAATATTTGAGATGACTTACTTCAAATTTCAATAAATCAATCTTTTATGTTACCTTTGATGATGAAGCATGTTTAACTGTAGAATAACAAGTCTTAATATATGATCTTGATTTAGGAGAGCAAAGAGTGAACATGAGCTAATATATGAGAATGTTTTATTTTAAATAAACGTCTCATCAGTCTGAATCACTCTTTAGTAAGATAATTCAGATTAAAGCTCCTGAACACAACAAGTGTAACTCATCAAACCTGTCGACATTATTCATAAACACTATTAATACGTTGAATAAACACGTTATTCACTTTAAACCACGAAACTATTTCCTTAAAGAGATTTTCCATTTCCTGGTTAGAGATGAACAAAAGCAGAGAAACAGGAAGTAGAACGAAACAATAAATACATCAGTTTAGGAAAACTGAACACTAAAAACTGTGACCTCAGCATTTATCAAAGGAAATAGTTATTATGTTTTAAAGAGTGAAGTGTGTGTGACAGCCTGCAGCTCAGCAGAGACTCAGTTTACACTGTAAACACTTTGTTCACGTTTTGCTCCAAACACACGACACAGACTCTTAAACATATTAAAGATATATATTAAAGATAGAAGAACGTCAGTCAGTTTCATCTGATTGAGACTCTCTTCTTCTCTTATGTGGTTATCTGTACCAGAGATTAAAGGAGCGATACATTATATTTAGATTTAAATATTAGCTTTGATTAAACACATTGAGTCACGAGTAGTGTTAATGAAGTATAATAATGAGCTTAGAGCTTGTGTTAGGAAGTCAAACAGCTCATAATTCATCGCTAATATCTATTTTATATTAACGTGAAAACATCTCCTTCAAACTACTGGATTCATTCTAGTTTATCACCAAAACTACATTTTACAGATGACATGTGAACACATCACGATAACGTTATTATTTTACATTTGTAGAAACAAATGTTTCTTGTCAAATTATGTATTAATTTGTGTACATCTTATGAAACATTTCTTCAAACATGAGTTTGAGACTAAATGTGTAAATTGGTTTAATTTTCTGAAGCTTTTTTAACTCATTTTACATGTAAATGACGTGACATTCAATAATATGATAGACTAATAACTGATAGATTTATAAAGTGTGTTCCTGGTTCCTCTTAGACGTCTGCGTGTTGTAACACCAGCCTTCAGCTCTGTATTGAGATGAACCGTCTGTCACACTGTCGTCTCACTCTGGAAACAAACCAGTAAGGGTTTACATGCTTCTGGTGCATTGTGGGAAATCTCACCTCCTGAACGTTGGACTCCTTGGTCAGAATCTCCTTGGCCTGGAGAGGGAACACACACAGATTATTTATTCAGTTTGTGACCGTTAAGATGTTTTAATAAAAGTCTTCAGACACACAAACAGTAACTGGTGACATCAACGACGGACCGGAGGTTATTTAGAGGCGCTGAAAGCTGTGTGACCTCACAGGACACCGTAGTGATAGAAAAAGCAAAGCGTTCAGGAAACAGTTTGTTTGTCATCAATCGTTTAGTTTATAAAATGTCTAAATAATAAAAGGAATAACGTCCACGGTGACGTCTTCAAATAACCTTTTTTAGTTTAAGCTACAGTCAAAAACACAAAGATATCGAATATAACTGATAAATAAAGACAAAGCAGGAAATCCTCACATTTTAGGAGGAACAGCTCGTTTTTCTGCTCAAAGACTAATTTAATCATCAGTTTCTGTTATTAACACAAGCTCTATAAGAGCTGTACATGTTAAATATAACATTATTGATCTATCTTTATTAAAATGAAATGGTACTGAAAAGATGTAATATATCAATATATCTTTAAATACAATAGTGATGCAACTAATGATTATTTTCTATTATCTTTATCATTGGTTTGTCTATAATAAGGTAATAAAATAGTGAAATTTCTTTATAATCAGAAATCATCACATCTGGGAAGAATTAAATATTGTCGTTTAACTTAATGATTAATCAACTAAAAACGTCACTTTTGGCAGGATAATTTATTACTAATATTATATTTAGACATTTCCTTGAATAATAAAAGTAATAAATATTTACATTTATTATCTTGAACATCCTTAAAATGCTTTAAAAGTTAACTGACTTTCCACTATATTAAATTAATTAAATAATTTGAAGGCTTCATAGTTAAAATAACATTAGATTTCAGCTGATTACATTTTTAAATATTAAATAAAATATATTAAAATTAAATAAATTTAAATATATTTAATTAACTTTTCCACTTCACCCAAACACAACTCAGACATTTTCAACGCTTTACTGAACTTAAATAAGTATTTTTATTATTCTTTCATTCATTAAACTCAACCACCATAATGTCTGAACCTGCAGCTAACATTTAAATATATTATAATTATTATTGTACATGTTCTGATATGTTTTGACGACATTAAAACCCATAAAAAAAGCTTT